TATATTTCAAGATAAACATTGTAGAGTCACTTTTATTCTTTCAAGGGTTGTTGGTAAGTATTCCTCATGCCTGACTATGATTTCTCCGAATATAGTCAATCCTGAGAACCTGTTTTCTTGGACAGTGAAGAAGAAAAATTAATCTGTCGTATCCTTGTATTAATGCTGGCCAGAATGTGTTACTAAAATTACACAAAGTAGACAGCTTTGAGATTTGTGTGCTTAAGAAAACCATGTGTTTTTAGGCACTAAGTGTTGACTCTGCAGGGAATACCACCTTACACTGCTAGAGAAATAATTGCATACAACAGAACTGAGTGACTCACAACTGGAGTCTTTTGCTTCCTAAATGTACTTTACAGACCGAGGTCCAAATGATTCTGACGTTTTTAAGAAAAAAAATTTATTAGCATTGCTTTCCTTAAGAAGTAGCATGATTACACTGAAAGACTATGTATAGATGGAGGATTTAGAAAGGGAATGAGTGGCAAACTCACATTAGGAACAGTGACAAAGTTGACGTAATTGTTGAAGTTTGGTAGTACAATTTTGTTAGTAAACAATATTAAAAAATTATAGTAAACACAGAGAATTTTGAATTTATATCCCAAGATCTACTTACATATTTTTAATTTGAAAATTGAATCACTTTAGTTACTACAGTACTTTTAGTTTATAATAATTCCTTTTTTTTTTTTTTTAAACTGCCCAGACTGTGATTTTTGTCTCTAGAAATTCAATTAGGACATTGGTGAAGACATACTGAGGCTACACAAGAGTAATTTAAAAAGAAAGAAAGAAAAAGGAAAGCCTTTTCTTGTAATGGGAGAGGTCCAACATCAAGGTCAGGATACCTAGGTACATGTGTGGAGTGAGGACCAGAGCTGGGCCTCAAGGGAGGTGGGAAGTCCATTGCAGAGAATCAGTCCTCCTAAGACCAGTCTGAAAATAACAGAGGCCTCCCTATGCCTGCAAAAGGGGCACAAGAGCTACTAATACACTACCTTTCTCAAACGATCATTTTCTGTTTAACAATTAAACTTGGACCAGGTTGAAAGTAGCTAACCTAAGATAAAGTTATCTGATACATGTTTGTGTCCTAATGTTAAAGAATTAAAAACAATAAAATCAATCGAATTCAATTCCTTCATTATCTAGATGATGCCTGAAGAAGAAAAATGACTTTACAAATCATTGAATGTGGCTGGTGAAACTGTGGGACCAGATTTTTCAATGCTCTTTCTTCCTTTTTATGACTTGGTTTTTAAAAAAAAAAAAAAACTCCCTTTTTTTTTTTTTTTTTTTTTTTTTTTTTTTTTGGTATTCTAGTATTTATAACTATATGATTCTTTTCATATCTTTGATGCCTGGTATAGCTAGCTGTCACATCACTATTATATACAAGCACATGTGTTTTAGTGTTCATCTGAGTCTAAGGATCTGGATTTCATTTTCCAAACAGCCAGTTTGTCTTAGCTGACAAGGAGCAAACATCTAAGGTTCCTTTCCTCTCCTCCACCCGCTACGAACATATGCTTGCATGCACTCTGGATAACATTAAGTAACACCGTCCCTGTTATTCCTCACCAAAAATTCTTAGCACAGACAAATGAGCAGAAACTAGCCTATAAAATTGGAGTGTCTAAAGAATAATAATCATCTCTTTTTGAGGAAAGAAGAAAGGTACTTCCCAATTGTGTGATCTGTGCTGCGGGTGAAGAGAAGGGAAGAGATGTTGTAGGAAGTCAGGATCACGGGGTTTCAGGGAATCCTGAACACAGAGTAAATAAATGAAGGAGAGAACTTGGTGGGACCCTTAGAACATACAGAACTAAAAAAGTTTGGGAACCCAGGTCCTCTGATACTGTGCCTTAAAAGGTGTGGGGATGGGCCTTGAGTGGCTGAGGGGGTGGGGGTTGTTCTTGCTCTACAGAGTAGAATTAGTTTGGTTTCCTTCATCTGATACATGTTTGACTTAGGAGGGGGAGACTGGCAGATTCCTAGATGCTTCGGTTGGGAAAAGATCGGGAGAGGTTTGCTTCACACCAGAAGAGGTATGTCTTCTCTGGGACTCTGTTATTGTATTGTGTTTTACAACTGCATTCCAGGCTATAACTCAGTCTGGAAGCAGGCACATCCAGTAAACAGAGACTGAGAGGGTAGACCACTCATCTCTCTTCTCTGTGTGGCATTATGCTTTTTATAATTCTAATAGAGGTTAAAAAGGAGGATTAGACTACAGAAGTTTTTACCCAATAATGTGTCATAAGCTATAGATCTTCACTTGCATATCGGTGAGATTCAAGCTTTGTAGTCCAACACAAAACGTATGTAGATGTAAAATGATTTGTCTTATAGCAAAAGAAGTTCATTGCCAGTCTGAAAGTGTCTTTGCTTGTTGCTAACAATGATTTTGAAAATTGGTGTCTTTATTTGTGTTTTTAATTTGGACTGTTTCTCGGGTCTTAGAGGAGACAGTATCTCCTGTGTGACCTCGTTCCACACCCACTCGCTTGCTGTGTCAGTGACATTTCCAGTGTCCTCAGTCCTGTCTGAGCATTCAGAGATGAAAGAGCATGTGTGGGAAGGTGGGGAGTAGCACTTTGCCTCTCCAGCACTGACAGATGGTGCTGGAAGAGGAGGGAGCCTGTGTGGAGGTTGTCGGCCTTCAGTCAGGCTAGAGTGGAAGCAGCCTGAAGCAAGACTTTCTGGGTTTTGAGTGCAGCTTATGGAGCCATTTTCTCAAATTCTTCCTTTCTCCAAGTTGGAACTGTGACTTCTGGTGTCCTCCTGACGTCTGGTGAGCACAGCTTGCTTTTGCTTCCCCCATCCCCTGCAGTGCTCACTTTGCCCGCCGCTATTCTCTAGGGCTTCCTCCTTACCAGCCTCCCTTCTCCAGAGTAGGCTTCTCCGTTAAACCTAGCAGCCCCAAGGCATGATTGAATGCTTGGGAAGTGGGTATTTTCTTCCTTTTAAATAGCAAAAGAAAAAGAAAACCAAACACCCAGCCTGCTACAATGGCTGACCCTTATCACCCTTAGTGCTTCCCACTTGCCTCCTTCCATGATTGACTTGTGCTTCGAGTTCCCTCATTCTTGAATGTACTTTTTTCTCTTGTCTTTTCATTTCAGAGTTCAAGCATCTTATTCAGCCTCTCTAATTGATTCAAGTGGTGCCTATATCTGGCTCTCAGCACATCATGCCTACTTAGAGCCACAGTTTAGATCTCCTTTACGTCAACCAGCTATGCAACTAGGAGCAAGTAATCTCTCCTGTCTGAATTTTAGCGTTTTGATCTGTCATATGAAGGGGTTCCCTAGTCCTACCCCCAGAAAGAATATGTGAGGTACTTTAGAATATGAGACATTCATTAAATACTGTAAGTTCTGATACATAGAAGGAAGTAAAAGGTAGATAGTAAAAGAGTGTGCCCCTTTCAAAGTTGACTTAGCGGTGAATTGCACTGAGGCAAAAAGGTGCGTTGAAGTTTCGTTAATGCTGAACTGACCTTATATTTTAGGAAAAAAGCTTGTGATGGTCTGACATAAGATTAACATGGGTTTTCCCAAGTGGCTAGGTGGATCAGCCAAGTTTGACTAAGCCATTAATTATGGTAAGAAGATGTCATTTCTAGGAATGGCTTCATTTAAACTTTAGGGACTTCGGGCTGATGTTTCAAGGAACAAGCTTCCATGTGGTTTGGTTAGACAGTGGTAAACAGAACTTGGTACAATTATAAAAGATGTGCCATTTTAAAAGATCTATGATTTGGTGAGCCTGGTGGTATACTCTGTAATTCTATCTTGAGAGGGAAGAAGGACTGAAAGTTCAAGGCCGACCTGGAGAATTTAGTGAGACCATGTCTCAAGAAGTAAAATGAGGGTTGGGGAAACAGCTCAGTGTTACAAGCACTTGCATAGTGTAGGTAAAACTCCAGGTTCAATCCCTACTACCATTAAAAAAAAAAAAAAAAAAGAACAGAAAAATTGCAATTTATCTGTCTCAAACTGTTTATTACTCCAGGTGAAGTATCACAATCACTAATGTGATACTTAAATTATGGAATAATTTGTTGATGTGATGCTGCAAAGCCAATTGATCATGTTCACTTTTAGCTAATGGGTTATAAGAGTTTGTGTCACTCTGTGTGTCTTTGTTCTGTCTCCACCCCCACCCCTTCAGCTTATTAGGGCACATCCCAGCAAGTTACCAAGGGGCCTTGCATTGATTGCCATCACAAAGAGAAAAGAATGGTTTATTCCAATAAAGACAACAGTACAGCTCACACTCTTACCCCAAGGCATGAGAGCACAGGCCTTGGAGCCCACGGACCTGGACTCATATCCCTTGCCTGCCATGTATTGATATTTTGATCCTCAGCAGGTTTTGAAAACTGTCTGGGCTTCAGTTAAGTCACTCTATAGAATGAAGAATGATAGTGCCTGTTTCATCAACATTGTATGAGGTCCTGTAAGAGTCTAATGAGATGGGAAATATAATGTCGTTCCTGACATTCAATGAACATTTGTAGATGCTGTGACTGTATTTACCATAATATAATATTTTGATTTTAATTCCTAAATTCTTTCACAAGTTACTTGTTTACTGCAAAATAATGTCCTTTGTGGCTGGCCTTGCTTTCTAGTCTCCATCCTCTGAGTACTCCCTCACTTAATGTATTCAGGGCATGTCATGGGCAAAGACATAAATTCGTGACTTTTTGTGATTTGCAGTGTTTGTATTTGTCATTTTCCATAAAATTATATTTTGTGCCTTTTCTTTTCGTGGTAAAAGTAATGAGAACATAAGGTATGTTGTGCTTGTGCTCCAAGGTGCCATTTATGAGCCTGGGGATCATCACTGGCTAAACAGTGTGCTACTCATAAAAGGTTTGTTTGAAAGTTGTATCAACAAGTGTGTTAAGTGGAATTAAAAGTGTAGTTTACTGAATTTTTGAAAAATTTTTAAAAGTTGTAATAAGCCACATTGTTTCTTAACAGATGGGCTTAGGTCATGAGCAAGGGTTTGGAGCCCCCTGTCTGAAATGCAAAGAGAACTGTGAAGGATTTGAACTGCACTTCTGGAGGTAAGCTCTTCTCATCATTAGGCATCATTAGTCTTCTACGCTCTGGCTGTAACTCCTCGGACGGTGGGCTCTCTCACAAGTTCTCAGGCACAGTTGCTCAGTTGTAGATCTTTTATTTTCTAAGTAGTAAATACAAAGTAAAACCATTCTGTCCCCCTGTCACTAAGTTTGACTGAGTGGATTGGATGATAACAATTTGATTTAGAATTGTTTGATTTATTTGCTATCTCTCAGATTTTCTGTAAACCCAAAATATTGACTATATATATCATCTCAGAGTGGCAGAAAAGTTTGTGGTAATGCCCCAGGATTGTTTATTAGCTTGTTATTTTTATTTTATTTTTAATATTTTATTATTTTTATGTATGTATATGAGTGTTATACCTGCCTGTAAGTAAGTGCCCATGGAGGACAGAAGAGGCCATCAGATCCCCCTGGAACTGGAGTTACAGACAGTTGTTAGCTACCACATGGTGCTGGGATTCAAACCCGTGTCTTCTGCAAGAACAGTCAGTGTTCTTAACCACTGAGCCATCTCTCCAGTCCCTAGCTTGTTATTTTTTAACAGCTGCTAACTTCTTTCTTCTCCTGCCAACCTCTTTATTGAGTGACAAATGGGAATGTTTAATTAGATATTTATGTCCTAGTTGTCAGGAAATGACATTGAATTTAGGTCTTAAGAATTTCTCAGCAGTAGATTTATTACTGAAAAACTTTCATGAACTTGAAACTTTTTTAAGAAAAAAATGATTTTTTTACCAATATCTTGGTTTGAATGAAATGCATATATCTTAATGGATCAAAAATGCAACTTTTAGGTAGATCTTGTTTGTATCGTGTCAATATAAAAGTTAAAAACTGTTCTTATGAAGAACATAGTTGTTCTTCCACATGCCTCCTCAAAACTAGAATCAGCATGGCATTGTTTAGAACAAAAGACCAGGGGTTGGAGAGATGACTCAGTGGTTGGAAGAACTAGCTGCTCTTGCAAAGGACCTGGCTTCGATTCCCAGCACCCACATGGAGGCTAACAGCATTACGTAACTCCAGTTCAAGGGGATCCAATGCCCTCTTCTGACCTCCACAGGCATTGCACAACACAGATGTACTTATATATATGCAGGCAATATACTCATACACATAAAATAAAAATAATAAATATATTTTTAAAAAGACTAATTGTATACTATTTGAATGATGGTTGCTTGTCCTTTTTTTCTGTACTGAGGATTGAAACCAGGGCCTCATGCTTGCAAGGCAAACCCTCTACCACTGAGCTACAGCCCCAGTCCACAGTGAACTTCATTTAACCACTACTTCTGTGCTTCAGATTTCCATAGGAAACTCTAGAATAAAGAATTTTATCAGCCCTGTGGCTATACACGTTGCAAGCTTATGGAGGATGTAGTAAAAGCTGGCACAATAGTCTCCTTTAAAAGCTTGCATATTTAGTAAGTCATAGGAAACAGACAGATGTTTTAACCCATGGTTCAGGGACCATTGTGGAAGAGGGGGTGGAAAGATTGTAAGAGCTGGGGTTGGTTCATGAACATAGGGAAACAGAGGATTTCAGGCCACTGGAAGCTTGCACATGTGAACTTGTGGCAGTCATGGCGCTGAGCACAAGACCCATGCCAACCCAATCAGACGAAGGCCCAGAGTAGAGCAAGGGAAATGGTTGGCCAGCCGGCCCTAGCCTGGGAACTGTTGGAGAATGATTACTACTGTGTGAGGAAGAGAAGAACTTACAATCTCTAAATAGGCCGACGAGACTCCAGTGGGTAAATTTGCACCAAAGGTCATCTGGGTACAAATGCTTGACTGGATAGGACTTAACATGTTATGTGGGATGTATGGGGCATGAGGGGGCAGTGATGGGGGAGGGAGTCTAAATTTGATTAAGAACTACATGAAATGCACAAAAGCTCAATAAAAGATTAAGGAAAAAAAAGTGATGGCAATAGAAACCTCATTCCTCTCAGAAATGATGATATAGTTCTTTATTTTTTTTTTTTATTTTCAGAGTGCTTAGAATTTTCCAGGGACTTTTTCAAATTCCAGGTTTAAGTAGCTGTCATGCTGCCTTTTCAAGGTATATAGCAACTTGGTAATATGCCTATCAGGTTCAAAAAGATATCACTAAACAAAATAGTTTCCATGATTGGAATAAGATGGTTTGCTGGTACCCAACCCCTAAAGGACCCAAATCCACAGATGTTCAAGTCTCTTCATAAAATTGTAATGTTTGTATGTAATATATCAGTAAATGTCTTCAGATTACTTACAATATAGTATAAATACAATATAGTGTAAACTGTAAATAGTTACTATGCTATATTGTTTTGAGAATAATGACAGATGAAAGTTGTTTTGTGGTTTTTTTGTGTGGACATTCTTGATCTCTGTATTAAATTCGTGAAGGAGGAACCCAAGAATACCAGAGTGACTGTTTTACCTTCTGTTGTGTGCACAGCTCTTATTTGTGCATCCCAATTGACTTTGCAAAGGGATGCAGCGCCCCCTGCTGGGCATAGGGGTTTCCAATCTTAAAATACCTTTTTAGCTCAGCAGTGCCCAAAACTGCTCATGAGCTTTTTCAAGCTCATCCCTAATAGGTTAGTTTATAGTAATTTCTGTTTGATCTGTATTATTTTTCTCTTTCAGATCACTATATTCTGATACTTTCAAAATAAAAAAATAAATAAATGAGCCAGGCAAGACAGATCTCTTTGGCATAAAAACACTTTTTAGTTTAGCTTTATCACACAAACTCAATTAATAGACTGGAGATAGTCTTAGAGTCTTAAAAACCATAAATACTGGAGGCTCACCTCCAACCTAGCTTGGGTTTGTATAGTCCCTCCAGATGGTATTTCTTAGTGCTGTCATCTTCCTGGCTAGAGTCCAGACGCATTTCTCAAGTATTCTTGATCATTCCCTGACTTTTTAACCATAACTGAAGGCCAGAGGTAGACGCCTTTGACCTCTAGGTGCAGCCATATTTCAGGATAGTTTTAGTAAAATATTTTGGACCAGTAGGCCGGTGTGTAATGAAAAGAGCAGCTGTAGACTAGGGCCACAGGGTTCTTGCCCACCTAGCCCACTCTGCCATTTTCACAGTGAACCTTGACTTTTAGGACTCTGAGATCTTCACACGCATATATAGAAACTCAGAGTTCAGTTCTCTACCTCTTTAGCAGTGCAGCTATCCCATAACCATTGAATGAAATGTTGAAAGTGGGTTGACGGATACAGTTACATACTCCCCAAGTGTTAAGGGCCCTCAGTCCTCACCAGACCTACTCCTTTCATCACGATCTTTGACTTTTGTTGGCAGACATCAGCATCTGGCCTCTGCTTGCTTTTCCAACCCCTCTCAGTTTCCCTTCAAGCATCATGTACTCCACTGGCATGATCCATGCTGTTCTCTAAAATTCCATGTATGTCCATGCCTGGGAAGAGCCAGGGATTCTCCTGTGCCCACCTCCTAGCTCCCCTTAGGAGTGCTAGAATTACAGACATGAACACTACCATGTTCAGCTTTCTCATGGGTTTTGGGGATCTGAACTCAGGCCTATAACCCCAGCACTGTGGGAGTTGGGAGGGGAGAAGAGGATTACCCAGGCTTGCTGACTGCCAGCCTAGCCAAAAACCACAAGATCTAGGTTCAGGGAGAAAACAGGCCTCAAAGGAATAAGGCAGAGAGTAATAGACACCTGATGCCCTCCTCTAGTCTCAGTGCTTGCATCCACAGGCATGGACACCCGCACACATATAAGGGTATGAGTTTTTTGTTGGGGTGTGTGTATGACACGCATGTGTGTGGGTGCATGTGTACCATGATGTGCGTGGAGGTCAGTGGACAACCCCAGGGGTCAGTTATTGAGTTCCACTTTGTGGTTTGTTTTCATTTTGTTTTGTTTTTTATGTTTTTGGGACAGGGTCTTCTTATAACCCCAGCTGCCCTGGAACTCCCTGTATAGATCAAACTGGCCTTGATTTCACAGCTATCTGCCTACCCACCAACACTAGAAACAGAAAATCTTAGCTCATGCACTATCACTGAGAAGTATTTCTTGTTCTCTATATTAGTCAGCTCTGGCTGCCATAACAAAATACCATAGACTAGTGGCTTAAATACAAGTGAATTTCCCCATCATTCTGGAGGCTGTAAAGATTAGGTGGCACCATGTTTTGGTTCTGTAAGCATCCTCTTTCTGGGTTATAGACAGCCACCTTCTCATTGTGTGTTCTCATAGCCAGAGTATGTGTATGCATGTGTACACCGAGAGAGAGAGAGAGGGAGAGAGAGAGAGAGAGAGAGAGAGAGAGAGAGAGAGAGAGAGAAACCATTCTTTTATTATACAAAGTCCAATCCTTAGATTAGGACCCTATCCTTATGACCTTATTGACCTCATTACTTCCTGAAAGCATTAACTTCCAACATAGTTCTATTAGGCATTAGGCCTTCTGCATATGAATTTGAGGAGATACAGTGTGGTCTCTAGCACTTGCCTCCCCTGCTGATCCCCACTCTTGTTCATCTGATCTGCTAGTGCCTCCTATTGCTGAGGACAAGGGAATGCACTGATGCAGTCAGCTTCTTGGGCAAAGCCCAGAGGACAGAGGACATGGATCCAGAGGGTGGATGGAAGTTTAGAATTTGCCACAAAATTGTAGAAAACTGAAAATGAATTCTTATAGTTTCAGAAGGTTAGAATCAAATTTTCAACTTAGCTCATCGAATCTCATGCAAATAACTAAAACTCAAAAATGTTTAAGTGACCTGTTTGTGCAGATGTGTTTTTTAATAAGAAATATAATTTATGACTAATTTCTATATGTCATACATCAGTAAGCACTAGTGATCGTTTTCTGTTGCTGTTTAACTACTTACTACAGCTGAGCAGGCAAAAACCACCACCTGGTAATTAACCAAGAATTCATTCTTTAAGTTAGAAACTGGGGAGGGAGGAGAGAACGCTCAGCTGATTCTATTC